CCCTTTTTAAAAAAAAAAAAAATGGTTTGTTCTCCCTACTTAGTTCTTCCCCAAGTTATAATCCTCTGACTGTGCTGATCTTTCCAAATCAACTACATGTGAAGTAACAGAAGTATGACTGCAGATTGGAAAAAGTAGAGTAGCTGAATTTTCAGGGTACAAAAATCCTGTTACCATGCAAATGTCTTTTCTTATTCTTCTGGACTTTTTTCTTTCTAATATATATGTATATCAAACAAAGAATAGGGTAAAGATAAAATAGAATTCTTAATATAAATTCATTTTTGCATGTACTCTTCCATTTGCTTCATTCACTGAGGATTTATCGAAATTCTGCTGTTCGTATAGCACCATGCTAGGGAGGTAGTGGTGGGGAGCTCAGAAAAAATGAAAGTCAAGATCTCTTGTTTGTAGGGCTAGAATCTATTTGGAGACCAGGGGGAAAAATAAGGAATCAAGCAGATAAAATACAAAATAATTTAGCTTTCAGCATTGATTTCCAGGGCTCCAACTAGATGCCATCTCTCTGGAACTTGAGAACATTTTGTAATTCTCTTAAATCATACACTAACTTTGCTTATCAGATTACCTAGTTAGATTATAAGCTCCTTAATATAGATTGTATTGCAGTCAACCTTGTGTTCTTTACATGTATGGTGCAAGGTACAGATTTTGCATGAGTGATGGTATGGAAACTAAAATTCAAGAATTTCTGTGCTTTGTTTAGTGTCATTTTTATTATATCATCCTGTATAATATTTGGATAATGTGTTCGGCTTGAATAGTTTTGGGAGTTGTGAGGAGGAAGTGTATTCTAGGATGGGAGAACAGCCTGAGCAGTCTGGTTTTGGATCTTGGGTATTATTTGAGAAATGTTACAGACACTGGCCTGCTGAGAGCAGAGGTTTTTTTTTTTGTGGAGGAGCAGTGCAAGAAAATGTTGCTTGCTTTGGAGTTAACTGGATTGTGAAAAACTTTCTAATATTAAGTTTTTAAAAACTGAAATAATACATGCATTAAAATATTAAGGTATATGGTGATTAAATATTTAAGGGAATGACAGGTGGGCCTGAATCCTTTTCTTTAAGAACCCACTATGATCAATTTATTATGTGTCCTTTAAGAGGTTCTCTGTGTTTGTATAAGCATTGTAAGCCTCAGATGAGAAGATACTATACATCCGGGAGATGTATCATGATTTATTTAACCGTTTTCTTGTTGGTTAAAATTTAGATTGTTTCTGGTCTTTGGCTTTAATAAGCTGTGCTGGAGTGAATATCCTTGTCCATGGCCTTTACAAAGTTTTAGTTGAAATTATTTGTGAACAGGGTGCCTGGCTGGCTCAGTCAGTGGAGCCTGCAACTCTTGATCTCAGGGTTGTGAGTTCAAGCTCCATGTTGGGTGTAGAGAGTACTTAAAAAAAATCTTAAAAAAATAAAATTATGCATGACTATAATCAACAAAGTCATTAAGTCAGAGACATAATAAAAATATTCATTTGCTTCATCTGTACTCCAGATACAACCTCTTTCATCTCTTAGTTCTTCATGGTTTACATCTACATTTCCAAATAATAGGTTTCTATTGCTACCTCTTGATTTTTTCCATTTTAGACATTATTTATTAACTTTCTAACTTCCTGCACTAAATGATCAGTTTTCTTATATTATCTATTCACTTTCTACTGTGGGAGATGACTGGGTATAAAATTTGAAGGACAAAATAATTTTCAATCATTATTTTGAAGGCTGGGTATCCCTTGTCACCCTTGGGATGTCATATGCTGTTCTGGATCCTTAAAACAAAAAATATTTATATGCATATATGTATATATATGTGTATATGTATATATGTGTATGTATGTATATGTGTATATGTATGTGTGTGTGTGTATACAGACATATATATATGACGTTTTATTCCTTAATCTCTGGAATCTCTTTATTATCCTGTCTAGACAGACATCTTTGGTATATTAGAGTTTCAGTTTTGCAAGCACCTGAGTATCTCTGAAGGATAAATTCCTGACACAGGAATAGTTGAATTAAAAGTGGATGCATTTAAAATTTTGATACTTATTGTCTGGTTGTAATAGAAATTGTTTTATTGCAGAGTATCTTCTCCTCTAAGCTCTAGCCATTGTCTGAAAGCCTGGCTTTGACAGAGATCAGTGCCACTCTTTATCTGCTCTGTGAGCTCTTCATTAACAATTTTTTGAACTTGACACCACACCTCCCTCTCCCAGTCTTGGGTGTAACACCCCTCTCACTGCTCCTTCCACTATGCATGCGTACATACTTTTCTGCACATGCACGTACTTCTCTGTCAGTCTTCCAGTGTCCTTCCTCATCTGCTAACAGCACCAAAAAATATATTCTAGCTCACTAATTAGAATTAGTATAATTTATCAATTATTCATAGATACTGGAATCATTGCTAATCACACTATAGCATCTCATTGCTAGGGTGAAGGGTCAGAACCAGAGATAAAGGGTTCAGAGTTATCGTAAAAAGGAAATTTAAGTTTAGAAATAGAATCAAGGCATTGAGTCGAGTACTGCCATAGAAAGCCAGAAGACTGTGAACTGCATCCTGGGGATAAGCCTACAATTGAGAGACAGGAAAAGAAGCAGCTAACGGAATGCTGGAATAGGCGGATAAATGTGCTATAAGAAAATTAAAACTCAACAGAAGGAAAGGTTTCAGGAAAGAATGTGAGATCAATGTTGCCTCACAGAGAAGTCAGGGAGAACGAGGCCTAAAAATGCTTTAGGGAACAGTTTCAGCAGAGTTGGGAGTTCAAGCTAGGGAGATAAGGAGATGGAGAGAACCACGTAGAGCACTTTCTGAGGACTTTACATCCACAGAGAGGGGAAGAGCTGGGGCTGAAGGTAGAGTGAGGCAGGAGCTGAAGAAAGGGCTACTTTATAGGGTGGAGGAGAGAGTACCTGTGCGTGTTTAGTTGCAGATAGAAGAAGAAATTTTGCGGAGTATAATGATGAGAATCGACTACTTTAGGAGACAGGGAAGATACTGGATCTAGGGACAGGGAGAGCAGCACATTTTAAGAAGGAAGAATGACTGCAGGACATCTTTCCCCCTGAGCCCAGAGGGAGGGACAGGGTTATGGGTGAAGAGGAAGGAATAGGCCCAGGTGGTGAAACGCTCACAGTCAGGTTAATGGGATTTAGGAGCATGGAGATTGTTTTGAATAGCCATCTGTTCAAGCATTTGTTATACAAAGGTGAAGAAAGTACCAACTGAATTTATAGAGACACGTGTATATATCTGTCTTTTATCATTGTTATTCATCCCCTGAGAGTAGGCAAGGAAGGAGTGGACTGTGGGGCCTATCTGGTATTACTGGCATCTGTGAGTGTCTAAAAGGTCAGTGCAAATAGGGTGGTGGTGGAGATGTCCGTGAAGTAGTAATTGTGGCCTGGGAATCCAAGGAGCTAATGAACTGAATGGCCTTGTCTGGAGGCAGAGAGCAACTGAAGGTGGAGGTTTGGTCAGAGTGGTGGAATAAAAAAAATATAGGGAGTATATATATAATGATAGGAGGAAGTGAGATACATCACTTCTGAGATCTTAGAGCCAAACTTGTGATGAAGTAGAATTCAACACACTTGAATAGGAGAGATCAGATTAGATTTGGTGGGTGAAATAGTGAGCAGAAATTATAGGAGGAGCGTGAGCATTGTAGCAGAGATCATCGTCATTGCCAGAGTCACAAAAGTGCCTGGCACTTCACAAGTCATATTTTTACACTGTGATCTGTGTGGTGGGATAGAAAACTCAGACATTTTGAGTTTTTAAAAAGCAATGGGTTTTATAATGTCAGTGAGCACCATTTTTGGTATCTTGAGGATAACATTATAGGTGTGTACTCTGTTTTTAGCGTTCTTTCTGAAAGCTCAATTTCACTTTAATGTTCACATCTATTAAATGTGCTATTTGATACTTTTGATCTTTCAAGAAATGTGGAAAACTGTTTTTATTGATATGTGGTACATATACAGAGGTAATTGGATAATAATGCTGTAAATACCTAAAGGTCCTAAGGTTAGTGTAATAAACCAAGCACAAAAAATATTCATCCTTCAAAAGCTTTATTTTCTCCTGTTTGCTCTTGCTGCATTACGCTCTCTGAATACAATGACTTGATGTGTTTATTAATAAGTACGTACTGTTACTTTCTGAGGATTATCAAATGTAGCAGGTATTTTGATGCACAGTAATTGTGTTTCTCTCTCTCTTTCCCCAATGCCGTGACTCTCATTCAGTCCGTAGAATGTCAACCTGATGATTCCTGTTTGCAGTTGCTTAACGAACAAAACAGTCAGTTAATTGTGAACTGAAAGAATGGCTGTATTTTTGACAAGGCATCTATGTAAAATAAATTGCCTCTTAACAATAGCCAGAAACCAGTGCATTCCTATGGGAAACCATGAATGCTTATGGTCAAGGTGGTCAGATGTTCTGATTTTCCTGGGTCAGTTCTGGTTTACACCTGCTATCCCAGTGTCCTGTTTAGTTGTCATGCCCTGTCACTCCCAGAAATGTTCTCATTTGGACAATATGTTATATGGTCATTCTGCCTTTTAGGCCTTATTTTGAAATTTATGGTCTATACTTTGAATCATTAAGCGAAGATGTATCTTAGTAATTGAAAGAAGCAGTCAGTGGTCAGTTTTGCCATCCTCTATAAAGGTGTAGGGATACTTACACAAAGTTCCTTCTTTCTGAATTCCCACTACATGCATTATAAAAAATGTTACAGTTTGTACTGAGTTTGCTAGTAGCTATTTGAATTCAGCAGATGTGTGATGATACAATATTTAATCAGGGAGTAACAGCCTTTCAAATAAATATATCCTAATCTTCTGCTTTGGAAAGAGAAATACAGTAGTGTCGGCCCTTGGATTTATGAAATGTTGGGTAATAAGTGTTTATCTCACAATGACCTAAGTCTTGATTGTCTTCCTTTCTTCAAACAGCACTAATATTCTGAGGGAGCCTGTGTGTTTAGGGGGATGTGAGCACATCTTCTGTAGGTAAGTAATTATGACTTGATCCATAGTGTAACTATATTTTTTACTAGGTCATCCTCCTGTAACCATATTAGTAATATGTTGTGTGTTATGTTTGTGTAACTCTCATAGGCTACAAATAACTTACTGTACATTGTCTCATTTTGATGCATAAAACTGTCTTACTTTACAAATAAGAGCATCAAAGCTCAAAGGGGGTGACTTGTTCAGAGTTGCATAGCTTAGCAAGTAGCCTGGGGAGAAAAATCTGTTATGTAATTGAAATACAGCTCTTTTTTTTTCCCCCTTCTGGTTACTTTGGAGTCTAGACCTTGCAGATTGTGAAAATCTTGCTCTGGATTAATTTTCTGGGGCTTCTGTAACAAAGTACCAAAGACTGAGTGGTTTGGAATGACAGAAATGTATTGTCTCACAGCTGTGGAGGCTACAAGTCCAACAGCAAGGTGTCAGCAGGGTGGTTGTTTCTGAGGGCTGTGAGGAAAATCCTGTCCCATGATTCTGTCCTACCTTCTGGTGGTGGAGAACCTTTGTCTTCTGGCAGTCTTTGTCCTTCCTTGGATTGTAGGTCTGTCACTGATTTTGACCTTCATGTTCACACAGCCTTCTCTTTAGTGTGCATATTTGTCTCTGTGTCCAAACCTGCCCTTTTTGTAAGAATGGCAGCTTTCCTGGAGTAAGGCTCACCTCGATAATCTCATGTTAATTTGATCTCGAGAAAGACCCTTTTTCCAAATAAGATTAGGTACTGGGGGTTAGGACTTCAACATCTTTTTGGGGGACACAGTTCAAGCCATAATAGTTACTATGGAATTATGTCCATGTTATAGTATGAAAGCCCTGGCATATAGATTAGAATATTAGATTTTCATCTCATTCTATTTCTTATTCTGGAGAAATCAATTAAAGGACTGAATGTCTTCGTTTAATTGTCTCTGAGACAGGGTCCATGTGGCCTCCTTTGCATCAGTTTTTTAATGACTTCAGTAATGACGCATGACTATCTGGCATGAACGACTTCGGCATGAAGTTTAAGCACACAAGAAAATAATTTACTGTGTGACTGCTGTGGGCTGATGTGTGGGAAGTGACTCTGCTTGGGGTCCCAGTTTTCCTTCTGGAAACATGGATTTGATATATGGGGCATATCCAGCTGGAGGCTGGGATAGGGAATAGTACATGTTGCCCATCCACTCTCCGTTTGGATGATGACAAGGACTTCACATGGGCAGGGCACGTGCGTCAGTCATCCTCCTCTCCCCTGTGCCCACGTCAGAGATCTTCATGGCAATAAAGCGGACTGCCGACTACAGAGCTGCTCAAGGCAGAAACCACAAGTAATACCCAACTGCTCTTTTCTTCCTTGTCACATCATTAAGTTCTGTCACCTCCACCTCACAATGCGCCTTGTATCTTGAATTTTCCCACTCTTCTCTGTATTTACTACTGTTTATTTGATCCAAGCCACCATTGTATTATCTCTCCTCAGACTAGTATAATAAGTTCTTAACTGCTCCCCTTCCTCATTTTCTACATTCTTAATAGTGATCTTTTAGAAATGTAAATCACATCCATATCCTTACCCTCCTTAAAGTCCTCTAGTGGCTTCTTTTACACTTAGAATAAAATCCTTACTCTTCACTATAAGGTCTGGAAGACCTGTACAGGACCCAATTCCTGCCTGTCTCTCCAGCCACACTTCCTTCTAGCTCACCCTGTCTAGCTACCTTCTCCTTTTAGTTCATTAAACACACCAAAGTCATTCCCGCCTCAGAACTTTTGCACTTGCTATTTCCTCCTTCTGGAATGTACTGCCAAATTTTTGTGAGGCTAACTTTTCATCAGTTACATTTTTTTTTTTTAATTTTTTTTTCAACGTTTTTATTTATTTTTGGGACAGAGAGAGACAGAGCATGAACAGGGGAGGGGCAGAGAGAGAGGGAGACACAGAATCGGAAACAGGCTCCAGGCTCTGAGCCATCAGCCCAGAGCCTGATGCGGGGCTCGAACTCACGGACCACGAGATCGTGACCTGGCTGAAGTCGGACGCTTAACCGACTGCGCCACCCAGGCGCCCCATCACCAGTTACATTTCAACTCAGATGTCACCACCTCCAAAAGACCTCCCATGATGCCCTTATGAAATATGCCCACTTCCTGTCCTTACTTGGTAGTAAGCAGATTTATTTTGTGTCAGCTGATGTACTCGCTGTATGTAATGGATCGGTGACAAATTTTGATTATGTGATGCCAAGAATTGGGTAACTATATTCTTTGCAGATTTGCAGCTGTGTAAAACTGCTAAGCAATGTTGTAAATACCATGCAGTTTTTTAATGTTTATTTACTTTTGAGAGAGAGAGAGAGACGGAGGGAGGGAGGGAGGACCAGAGAGAGAGGGAAACAAAGAATCTGAAGCAGGCTCTAGGCTCTGAGATGTTAGCACAGAGCCCAACATGGGACTCAAACTCACACACCGTGAGATCGTGACCTGAGTCGAAGTTAGACACTTAACCGACTGAGCCACCCAGGCACCCCGTAAATACCATGCAGTTTTAAAAGATGGTTTGATATATACCAGTCTAGTTGAAGCATTGAAGTGGAGGGGTGCTGGTTGGAGGGGCACAGATTTTTATGTCATTGACAGTGTTATGGTAGTTCCAAGGTACTTTCGTGTCAATCCCTGATAAAAGTAGTCCATGTATTCTCTAAGGTAGAAATCATTTAAAACATATGGCAGACATATGCAGACTTTTTGGCTTTGGATCATTTTACACCTTTAAAAATTGAGGATCCCAAAGCAGTTTTGTTTGTATGTGTGTATTTACCATGTAAAACTGAGACATTTAAAAAATACCATTCACTTAAAAATAACAGTAATAAACACATTACGTAGTAACATAAGTCACACTGTTTTAAGGAAAAATAACCATTTTATAAACCAAAGAAAAACTAGTGAGAGTGACACTGTGTTATATTTGTGCAAATCTCTTCATTGCTTTGATGAATAGAAGACTGTAGATTCTCGTATCTACTTATGTAATCATTCTGTTGTGATCTAATGTTTTGATTGCAGTATGTGAGTGAGGAAGATCTTGTATTATACATATGCATAGTTGGAAAAAAGAAGGATTTTTAAATAGACTTTTTAGATAGTTATGGATATTCTTCTTTGATACGACACCATTACTTAGCAAGTGCTAGTTTCTTTAGATTTGTTACAGTGTGGACTTTAAAAGGATACCAGTGAACTTTTTGTATTCTGTTCCAATAAATTTCATTGACTTATCCTGTGCTGTGAATGGATCTTTCACCCAGCATGATTTCCTGACCACATCTGTCGGTCATTTGGAAAATACTGGCTTACTGAGTTATACAGATCTATTGAGAAATAATATCTTTCCCCAGAATTCGAGATTAATGTTTACAAAATAATTTGAGAACATTTATAAGATGAACATTATAGAATGTGTAAAATAGACTGAGTACTGGTGTGGTGCTGGGTAAGTGTCTCACCTAATTGGATCTCATTTTCTTTATCTGAAAATAAGGTAATGATTTCCTGATGAGTGGATTGTGACTCTTGTCAATCGTGTTCCTCAAATACTTAAGTATTACATAACAATTGATGATTTCAGTCCCCTGTACAGTCAGTTTCCCTATTTTCTCTGTTGGAGTTTTAAGCTAAGGGTTCTTAAGTACAAGCAAAGAAACTCAAAGAAGTCCCTTTCTTTGCTAAAGAAATTTGACATTCATCTGGAAACTTTTTCTTAGCCCAGGTATGGATTACAGATTTGTTTTATAACATTTATTGAGTTACTTTGCATCAGAAATCATGCCAGAATCGAAGATACAAATAATAGAACTAACCACAGGCTTTTTCTGGAAGGATCTCATAAGAATCCTCTGTGCCTACAAATGAGTGGGTCACATGAAAAGGAATGTGGTATTTGGGAGAGATGTGGTTTTTATCAGTTAGGTTACCCAGTCTTGTTGGAGCTCCTTTGGTGAGGCTAAGGGAAGAGTGGATTGTTAGGTTTCTTATTTCTGAATCCACAGATAAGCTTTGGAGGGGGATTGTGACCCCCCCCCCTTTTTTTCTACAAGAGCTTATGTATATCTTGAGATTTGCAAAGGGTTTGTAACCCCTAAAGTTAAGAAAATCCCCCTAGCTGTGAGACTTTAACTCCTAGACAGATAACCTGAGATGATTTGAGTCTACAGGTTATAAAAATGTCTGAAAGAATCAAGTATCTTTTCTCAGAAACTACTTTAAAACCTTTAGACACTTGTCTGCACACAAAACAAAAATTACCTTTTCCAGTCTCTTTGTAGTAATTTTCCATGAAACATAGTGTTAAGATTTAGGATAGAAAAGGTTGAAATGCATGGCTGTTATGCATTTGGTACTAAATATGTTTCTTTATGTCCCTTTCTGTACTCTTACCCCTTAGAAGCTATAGATTTATTTGCATGAAAAAGATTTGCAGAGTAATGTCTAAGTAAAATCTCTTCACATCAAATGGCCTAAGCGACTTTAGGTACAGATTTGTATGTGTGTATCATACTCTTTCAAAAACATCATTGTAACAAATATTATATGATTGCCCATTGCTTGTTAAGACAACGTTTATTTACTTCTGTTCAAACTGTTTATCTTTTGGAATTAAAATTCTGCTGAATGCATTGATATGTATATATATATATATATTTTAACATTTTTAAAGTAATTGTGTAAGTGACTGCATTGGAACCGGATGTCCAGTGTGTTACACCCCAGCCTGGATACAAGATGTGAAGATAAATAGACAGTTGGACAGCATGATCCAGCTTTGTAGTAAGCTCCGGAATTTGCTGCATGACAATAAGCTATCAGGTGAGAAAGATCACTCTCTCTCTTCATGAAATATCTGATGATGAATTCATATTGATCGCAGAAAGTATGTAAAGATCTGTCAGGAATTCTGATGGCATATTTCAGATTTGAAGATTGACAGCGTTTGCAATTATTTTGAGAAGTGACAGATAACTTAGAGATCACTTAGAGAAAGCAGGGTCCAAAGAGGTTAAATGATCTCACCTAACATCACATGTGTAGTTAGTACTGGAAATGAGAAATAGAGCCCATTTCTTCTGATTGTCAGCCCAGACACTTTGCACCACCTACATTGCCTGCTTTTTACAGTTATAATAATTTCTGAATAATATACATGGAAAAGTGATTTTGTCCTTAAATTCACTTAAATACACTTTTACAAGATAGAATACAACCTTCTGTGCATCGCTTTTCTAGACTGAATTAATTAGATGAGCACATTTTGAAAGAGCAAAAATCTAATATTCATTTTCTTTTCTATTTAAATGGGGGTTAATGTTTTTCAAATTGTTCTTAGACTCTGTGTATTAACTATATATCTTCCCATTGTGCTTTCTGCTGAGAACTAATTAGCTGTGGAAAGAAAGTAAAAGGTTTTGAATCTTCATAATTAGATACTGGAATTGTCTTTTTATTGATCAGATCATGTCATTTTAGCTTATGTTTATAGGATAACCTTTTCTTGATTGGCAGGATGCTGTGAATGATTGATAATGCTCGCATAAAATGGTTGAATTTCCATTTCTAAATCTTCTGATCTTAGATTTCTGACAAGCTGTGTTATTGTCAGCTACTAAAGGTGAAGTTGATTAGACAAATTAAAGAAACAAGGCAAATACTTTGTCTTATTGACTAGGTCCATATTTTTAAGAAGAATTTAAATCATAGTCTACCTATGAAAAGTTTTCTTCATCTCATCATTGTATTAGACTCTATTCTTTTAGGATATAATATGCTATGTGATAAAGTTTTACATGTTTTCAGATGTAATTATATACTCATATACATTTCAAAAAGTATTTACCTTTTTGAAAAAATAATACTGCATTATAAATCTCTTTAAGAGCATAATGAAGAAACTTCATTATTATCATCTGTATTTTTTTCCTTCTTACTCAGAGGTAGGGCTGATAGTGTTTAATTTTCTAATTAAAATGATTAGTGTATGGTATCCCCCTCCCTCCCCCCCCCCCCCCCCCCCCCCCCCCCCCCAGATACCATTGATTAAAGAGAGTTCATGCATCTGGAGGGAGTTGAGGGGGAGGATTAAAATCTTTTTTTTTTTAAGATTTTCTAATTTTTAAGTAATCTCTACACCCACTGTGGGGCTCAAACTTACAACCCTGAGATCAAGAGTTGTATTCTCTACAGACTGAGTCTTCCAGGTGCCCTTAAACTCTTGATTTAAGTGTACAATATGAAAAATGTTCATGTCTGCCTGAAAGTGGCTTTTGTCAGATCTTCAAGATGTGTGGTCTCTTAGGAACATTGGCCATGCATTGACATCTGAGGTGCTATTCTGAGAATTCTGTCTGTCGTGATGGTTTGATGTGATTCTTCTCCAGTTTCTGTGTAGTAATATATTAGCTTGCTCAGGCTGCTGTAACAAAACACCACAAACTGTATGGCTTAAATAATACAAATTTATGATCTCACAGTTCTGGAGTCTAGGAGTTCTAGATTGAGGTGTTGGTATAGTTAGTGCCGTCATAGTCTGTGAGGGAAGGATGTCTGTGAGGGAAGGATATCTGTGAGGGAGGTCTGTGAGAGGAGGACCTCTCTGCTTGGTTTGTAGATATCAGTCTTCATGTTACATGGTGTTCTCCCTGCATGCGTGTTTATGTTAAATTTCCCCATATTTATAAAGACACCAGTCTTTTTGCACTATAGAGTCCCACTCTACTAGTTTTTACTAATTATATCTGTAATGACCCTGTTTCCTGAGGCCACATCCTGAGGTACTGGGAGTAGGACTTGGATAGATGAATTTTATGAGGAACACAGTTTAACCCATAACAATGTAATGTGTAATGTGACCTTTTTAATGCTAATAAAAAGGGAGCAGAGTAACTCTTGATGGGTAGTGAATTATAGCATAGTGGGGTACGGGTATAGTGCCTTGGGGTGCAAAGAAGAATAAGGTAGGGGACTTCTCCAGAAAATCTACTGTCATTAATGATGGTTGAGTCTTTAGTATGGTTTTCATATTTTGTGGACCATGTATGAAATGTCTCCATATTTAATCACTGCTAAGGATACTTATAAAAATTATCAGGTTTAGAATAAGTTTTTGCATGGGGCCAGAGGCCTTTTAGAATGTTGTCTTTGTCATGTAAAAATAGATTGGGAGTTTGAGGAGAGGATTATGGTGATTCATTTTTCGAAAGGCGTTTTGTGTTCATTTTCCTTATTATAGTGAGTAGTAACTACTTGAAGTAACAGACTTCAGCAGTGCTGGCTTTATCATTACTTATTTTAGCATGAATTGAAATTTCACAATTTGGATAACATACAATCAAAATTTTAGGAGCAGGAAGGTCATCCTAAATCACTTATTCTGTAGGTGAGGAAATTGAGGACTTAGGTTATGCAGGAAGGTCACAGTGTGAGTTTGTTTACTTACTTACACTGTACATTTAGCACAATGCTTTGGTTAGGTGTATAGGTGTTCATTATACTTGTTGAATTGGAGACAAATTGGCAGTGGTAAGGGTTAATTCATACCCCAGAGACTAAACTTAATTAAAGCTATTTTATTTAAAAAAATTTTTTTAATGTGTATTTATTTTTGAGAGAGAGAGCGTGTGCATGAGTGCACATGAGCGGGGGAGGGGCAGAGAGAGAGGGAGAGAGAGAGAGAGAGAGGGAGGAGAACAGGATCCGATGTGGGCTCTGGGCTGACATCAGAGAGCCCTGCGTAGGGCTTGAACTCATGAACCATGAGATCATGACCCGAGCCGAATTTGGACGCTTAACTGACTCAGCCACCCAGGCATCCCCAAAACAATTTTAAAACAAATTCTCAGGTTTTGATTTCAACAATTCATTTTATAATGGTAACATCTTCCTTTTCTCCTTTTACAGAAGATGGTAAATCTAGAGTGTAAACATATTGAAATATGAATCTCTGTCCAGAGCTATAATTTACATGGTGCCAAGCTTATTCTGCTGATTAGTGGCATCGCATTAACTTTTCCTCCTGAGGTTCTGCCAAAACAAACTAGCCTCAAAGGGCATTGGAGTTTTTTTGAGGGTATTTCTCTGTTTCTTTATAGTGTATTCGATATTTTATGTAGTACCTTATGTTAGTTTACGTAGCCAAGTACCTCTAAAATTAAAGTGGTAGAAGGTGTACTAGGTTACTAGGTAGACGGAACTAACAGTTGGGGACAAATTATGTTTTATCCTCTTTTTTTTTTTTTTTTTAATTTTTTTTTTTTTTTCAACGTTTATTTATTTTTGGGACAGAGAGAGACAGAGCATGAACGGGGGAGGGGCAGAGAGAGAGGGAGACACAGAATCGAAAACAGGCTCCAGGCTCTGAGCCATCCGCCCAGAGCCTGACGCGGGGCTCGAACTCACAGACCGCGAGATCGTGACCTGGCTGAAGTCGGACGCTTAACCGACTGCGCCACCCAGGCGCCCCATATCCTCTTTTTTTTTTAATGTGTGTTTATTTATTTGGGGAGAGAGAACACAGGTGTGTGGGGCGGGGAGGGGCAGAGAGAGAGAGAGAGAGAGAGAGAGGGAGAGAGAGAGAGAATCCCAAGTAGGCCCATGCTGTCAGTGCAGAGCCCAACACAGGGCTTGATGCCCCAAACCATGAGATCATGACCCGAGCCAAAACCAAGAATTGGATGCTTAACCCGCCGAGCCATCCAGGCATCCTGGTTTATCCTCTTTATAACGAGGAAATTGGAAACAGATCTCATAAAATAAGGGTGTTAGATTAAGTGATCCCAAGGTGTAGCTTGAAAATCATCTAGTTCTGTTAAATGGGTGTTGACGATGATGAATTAAGTGGGATGGTCAGATATCTACATCTCTATTTTTTTTAAGCCCTGTAGTTCACAATTTATCTTTCAAAAGAACCTTGTTAGTTGCATTTACTATGAAATATATAATTACTGTAATTAAGGTGGGTAATTAGGACGAACTTGTCAAATCATGGACATGGTATATGATATACTAGAGATAAAGAAGCCTGATTTATAGTAATGCTTTTTAAAATGAGCTTCTAAATACTTGAACAGGTTTTCCTCAGTTCAGTGTACTTTCAAGAGAAAAGATTGTCACAAATTTTTCTGAAAACCATTTATGGATAATTTTACCTTATTCTTTATAATATAATCTGTTTTCTACTAATGGAGTTAAATTTAAAAGTTTGTATTTTATATTGCTTCCCATCATATTAAATCAGACCTTGCAGGTGCTGGTCAGGCTCTGTGAAGCATTTGTTGGTGTTGGTGGTGACGTCTGAAAAAAAAAAAAAAAGTTTTGATTATGCTTTCATGGGATCACAATTTCCTTTTCTGTTTTCTGGCTTCCAAAGAGATGCTTGTCTTTCTATAGTGAATTACATAGTATTTCATATATGTTATGACTTTCTTATAATAGATGAAGATGAACATTTGAATAGTTGTGTTGCTGTTGTTTTTTAAAATAGAACTGAATACTTCTTAACTTACAAAATAATCATTCTTGCGGTTGAAGGCGTTAATGTTGCACAGATGGTAGCAAAGTACTTTCCTTTGATTTTTAATAAGGGACTAGTTTGTCAAAGAGATTTCTCAACTTCTGTTGTGAAACCTATAATAGAGAATAATTTTAAAGGCACACAATGTACATCATTATAATCCTTTGATGTAGATTAATGATAGCTAAATCACATTTTCTAATTGCCTCTTTTTTCTATAGTTTATTATTAAATTTTAAGAAAAAACTTGGCAAAGCTGCTTCTTAGCAACATGTGCATCTCTGTTCCTCGATATCTTGTGGTG